CTGGGACGATTACCTGGTGGCGCCGGGTGGCACAGAGCACCTCCTCAGAGCCGAGCTTGGCTAGTATGCTCTTACGGCGCTCGCTGGATGCCTCATCGATTGCGGACACGCCGCTGCCGCCGGAGCCGCTGTCGCTGGAGCCACTCCCGCTGCCGCCTGAGCCAATACGCCGCCGCCTGAGCGAATTCGCTGACAAGCCGGCCCTACAGACTGCGGTCGACCTGTGGTGCACCAACGAGCCGGCCGCTCTGGCGGCGTACGGCCACATCTCGGGCTGGGACGTAAGCGCGATCACCGACATGAGCATGCTCTTCTGCGCTTATTCACCTTCGTGGTCACCTTCGTGGTGCGCGGTTAACGGCGGCGGCTCCACGACCGGCAAGGACACGTGCAACCCCGACATCTCGGCGTGGAACATGTCGGCGGTGACCGACATGAGATACATGTTCCGCGGCGCCTCCTCCTTCGACCAGGACATCGGGTCGTGGGACGTGTCGGCGGCCACCGACATGAGCTACATGTTCGACGGCGCCTCCTCCTTCGACCAGGACATCGGCTCGTGGGACGTGTCGGCGGCCACCGACATGAGATACATGTTCTACGGCGCCTCCTCCTTCAACCAGGACATCGGGGCGTGGGACGTGTCGGCGACCACCGACATGAGCTTCATGTTCTTCGGCGCCTCCTCCTTCGACCAGGACATCGGGTCGTGGAACGTGTCGGCGACCACCGACATGAGATACATGTTCTACGGCGCCTCCTCCTTCGACCAGGACATCGGGTCGTGGGACGTGTCGGCGGCCACCACCATGAGCTACATGTTCTACGGCGCCTCCTCCTTCAACCAGGACATCGGGGCGTGGGACGTGTCGGCGACCACCGACATGAGGTTCATGTTCTCCGGCGCCTCCTCCTTCGACCAGGACATTGGGTCGTGGGACGTGTCGGCGGCCACCACCATGAGCTACATGTTCTACGGCGCCTCCTCCTTCGACCAGGACATCGGGGCGTGGGACGTGTCGGCGGCCACCGACATGAGCTGGATGTTCGTCTTCGCCTCCTCCTTCGACCAGGACATCGGGGCGTGGAACGTGTCGGCGGCCACCGACATGAGCGGCATGTTCTACGGCGCCTCCTCCTTCGACCAGGACATCGGGTCGTGGGACGTGTCGGCGGCCACCACCATGCGCTCCATGTTCTACGGCGCCTCCTCCTTCGACCAGGACATCGGGTCGTGGGACGTGTCGGCGGCCACCACCATGAGATACATGTTCCGCGGCGCCTCCTCCTTCGACCAGGACATCGGGTCGTGGGACGTGTCGGCGGCCACCGACATGAGATACATGTTCTACGGCGCCTCCTCCTTCGACCAGGACATCGGGTCGTGGGACGTGTCGGCCGCCACCGACATGAGCTACATGTTCTACGGCGCCTCCTCCTTCGACCAGAACATCGGGTCGTGGGACGTGTCGGCCGCCACCGACATGAGCTACATGTTCTACGGCACCTCCTCCTTCGACCAGAACATCGGGTCGTGGGACGTGTCGGCCGTCACCGACATGACCTGGATGTTTGAGAGCGCCTCCCTCAGCGACTGCAACAAGGCGCTCATCCACGCCGGCTTCGACGCTCAGACGAGCGCGTGGCCCTACTCGTGGGGCTCACTAGAGTGCCCCTCGCCCCCGTCCCTGCCACTGCTGCCGTCGTCGCCGCCTGCGAGTCCGCTGCTGCCACCTCCACCCCCGCCTCTGCCGCCGCCGCCACTTCCGCC